TATTGGTTAAGTCAACCGTTAATTTTGTCAAGATTGTTTTGTAACTGACGGATATCTTACTATATCGGTCAGTATTTCCCTATATGTGAGATGAACCGTTAGACTCTTTGGTTTTTGAAAATTTAGATGTAGGCCTTACTAAAACCTGCTGCCTGTTAGACTGCGACAACTTTCCGATGCGCATGAGTATTGTGCCTTTCATGTCAACCAGTCTTACCGTTGGCATACTACATGAAGAGATGGAAAGGTTGTTGCAGGGAGAATCAGGCAGTGATAGTTATATTTATGCATAAGAGCCATAAGGTTCAGAAGACAAAGGTTCAACATTGTCAAGTACTGAATCATCAGTCATACGGGTTACAGATTTTGACCTTTTAGTTGGTGAAATTTCTATTTTGCTGAAGTTATTTGCCATAATTTGAAACTCAGTGAGTATAGAGCTCGGTTAATTAAACAGAATATCTGAGTGTATAGTTATTATTAAGTATTAACCGAGTTAATACTATGAGTATATAATGTATTTCAAATATAAGGTGTTCATTTATAATGTAATAGAGTAACGATCAGTGGAATATCTGCATTTAAATTCTTATAATCCAAAGATAAAGACGCGCCAATGTGAATTACTGGGGACATATTTATACGATATGTAGGCAACGAAGTCCGCGATAAGTACGTAGTAACCGTGAGTGTCCGTCAGAACGAACGAATTCCATATAGCTTTCATCAACAGGTTCCAAGCCCTGCAGAGTTCTTTGAAAGGGAAACTACTATGGAGGACAACTGCAAAGGAATCAAAAAAGCACTAACTCCAACGTCTCGGGAGGTTCTGGGTCACGAGAAGCATCATCATAAGGAATGAGTCCCCATCGAAGCCTTAGACAAGATTTATGAAAGAAAAGATATGACGGCAACTAACAACAGTCAAACGAGAACAGAGAAAGTCAAAACACAAGCTGAATACACAGAAGTAAACAAGTGAGTTAAAAAGAGTGTCAGAATTGACAAGGGGAAATACATGGAAGAGCTAGAAACTACACCAGAATAAGCTTCAACAGAAGGAAATATCAGACACGTTTATGATGCAACGAAGAAACTAGCAGGAAAATATTGTAAACCAGAGAAACCGGTTAAGGACAAAGAATGCAAACCAACCACCGAGACCATGAACAGATGGGTAGAACACTTTGAGGAACTCTTGAATAGACCAGTCCCAGTGAATTTACCATGAATCAAAGCAGCATACATAGATATTCCCACAGACAAGAGTTCACCAACGATCAAAGAAATCAGAATGGGCATCAGACGAATGAAGAGTGGGAAAGAAGTAGGACCTGACAACATACCAACTGAAGCACTAAAGTCAGACAAAGAAGCAACTGCCAGCATGCTCTACACTCTATTCAGGAAGATTTGGGAGGAAGAACATGTGCCGACGGACTGGAGAGAAAGACACTTCATCAAGATACCAAAAAGAAGAGATCCGAGTAAATGTGAGAACTACAGAGGAATCACACTGCTATCGGTACCAGGGAAGGATTTCAACAGTGTTGCTGAACCGGATGTAAGACTCAGTAGACGCCCAGCTTCGACATCAACAGACCGGATTCTGTAAGGATCGGTCATGTACAGACCAAACCGCGACACTACGGATTATCGTTGGATAATCAAATTGAATGAAACTCGTCACCATACATCAACTTCCTTGATTATGAGAAAGCGGTTGACAGTGTGCATAGGAGAGCCTTATGAAACCTTCTTCGACACTGTCGTGTACCTGAGAAGATCGTCAACATAATCCGGAGTTCATACAACGGACTACACTACAAAGTGGTGCATGGAGGACAACTGACAGACGCATTCCAAATGAGGACCGGAGTCAGAAAAGACTGCTTACCTTTTTATTAGCCCGAGATCTGACTCCGGTTAGACCGTATGATTTATTGTTATTGAAATATACATTCCGCCAAATCCTAGTGTAAAATTATCGACTTAACTCGCGTTAGTGAATAATGGAATTAAATAAGTCAAATACGAGAAGAGAGAGCAGCGAAAGGAAATGGCTCGCAGTGGAGAAGCACGTAAGCCAACCCAATTTAACCAAGCGTGAATCAATATGTATAGCTGAACAAAATGAGTTACAGGCATCTAATGAACAAGATAAGAAGTACACACATATACTTACATAAACGATCAAGGTTGATAAGCTAATAATTAACAAGGTAAAACGTGACTCGAGAAGGATGAATAGATTGGCCTGTCCGGAAGCTAGAATAGGCTATGTGGGCTTGACATAGCACTACATATCCTCCTTGTAGAAAATAGCACATTTAAATGAAAAAATGTCTGTTTTCCAAAATAACACTGAAGGGGTATGTAGTTAACATTAACAGCAAGTACTGAAGAAACCGTATTTCCTTGGTAAAGTACAGTGACACGTGGGGGGTGAGTGTATTGTACAAATAGTCCATTTGAATAAAACCATACATCGACAGTTATGATTCGTTGAGAAACATAGGTTACACAAAGTTCGTGCAGCTTCTACCTCTTTTAAATATCGAATAAATGAAGTAACTAAAATTTACTCTTGTTGATATGATGGTTATTTATTTTTAAAGTAGTTAGCTGAGATGGTATGACTATAGCTAACTGATCAGAAAAAATTGTCGATCAATGATGATTATGAAGCTTACCAACAAAGTATCATTTTCGCTTCGAATATGTTACTAAAACTTTACATCCTTCTTTACATAGACAATTGTTCAAGATCAAGTTAACGAAGAAAGTAATATTCTTCATCGAAGGAAAAGTAACAGTATTATGTTTTTACTGATGGTATAATTTTTGGGGATTCAATGAATGTCAGAAATTGTTAGGTCCCGAGACACATATTGAATGGTAACTTTTGGATCCTTTTATGGACCAATACTAAACGTATATTTTTATCGTGTAACTGTTAAATAACTAAACTATTCATATTATAAACTTTATTTTGACCTATGAACCATTATTACACGTTTTACCATTCTTGAATTATGCCCTGTCTATTAGTCACTACCTCCCACAGTCACAGCTACATTTGGCCAAATTTTGTACAAATGTTATTTTCTATTTTATGCTACGTTGTGGTCGGTTTGATCGGTATATAAACTCAGTATGTCTGAAATATAAGGATTCATATTGCAGAGGCTGAGACTAGTGTTCTGGACTTAACTGGCTGGGCTAGGCGGAAAGCAGGACTCTAGGCTGCTCGCACGTGTGTTACGTGTCCTTGGTCCGATCGATAATTCGCTGCTTCTGATTGGCAGCTATGGGCTATAACAAAAATGCATTCGATCTATTTTGAAAACTGGATCAAACTCTAAGATTTCATTTCTCAATGGTTTCTTCGTAAAGAGATTTATCCGCATAATCTAACTCCAGTCGACCAGATAATGAACTTCTAGTTTTCTCCCTTTAGACAAAGGTTAAATCTAGTTCTTTTCTTTTCCACGGAGATTTTGAAAAGTATTCACAGAGGACTGTATAGACGAGTAATTGTGGTTTGCGAAATTGACTTATACACATACTTCTTCCCCAAGCGAATTGAAAATGTCTTAAATGTTATCAGACTGACTCGGAAAACGTACCAATGTTAGATACAAGCATGACATTTCAAAAACTCTTTAGAGGACCGATCAACGAAGCAAACATTCTAAGCGTCTTAAACGAAGTATTTGTTTGAACGAGAGAAAAGCAGCTTACAGAAAATCTCGATTTGTATACAGTAGCTTCCAACCTCGAAAATAGCCACACATAATGTCCGCATGTAAAGACTAACTGACATTTTTTAGAACACGTTCCAGTTTCATTCGGTAGAACAGAAGGAATAAACGTAAAACCATTCGTTTTGTAACATGTAGCTGATCGTGACTTACCTTCAGATACATAGTTTGATGTTATCTTTAAACTTACATTTAATGCATTGAAAGGTGTCCATTTGCATCTCCATTGAATGGCATAAGCATTAACAATGCCCTATCTCAAGTCATAGTGTTGTGAACGAGGACACAGGCGTAAGTAAAACCTCGGTGCCTATAATTTAAATAAAGAATGGACTATAAATATCTCTAAACTCTGATAACCGAGTTGGCTAATAAAGGCTGCTGTGGATATTCAGAGTAATAACTTTAATCAATTCGAAGCCGTGTTTCCTAATTCTAACCAATATTAGAATTCATGTTTAGCTTCCGTGTGCTGACGTCAGTCTGGATCGAATGTGTAGGTTATTTTCCGCGCACAAGATGCCACCTACCATATGACAATATCATCTGCACATTGTGAGACAATCAAATGTACTTACCTACTTGCGCCAGTTACCCCTCATGGAGGAGCATAGGCCGCTTCTGGTCAACAGCATTACCCATCCATCTCTGTCTTGAGCAATCCTTTCCAGTTGTTATTCATCCTTTTCATGTCTGCTTCCAATTCTCAGTGCACTATGCTCTTTGTTCTTCTACCTTTCCGTTACCCTGCACGATTCCAAGTTAGCACTTGCCTCATGATACAGCTCGGTGATTTCTGTAATGTATGTTCCATCAAATTCCAGCATCTTTTCCTAATTTCCTCTTTAACTGGAAGCTTGTTTGTTCTCTCCCACAATAAACTGTTGCTCATGGGATCCAGACAACGAAAATTCAGTATCTTGACTAAACAACTATTCATAATTACTTGTATCTTTTGATGCTGGTTGTAGTAGTTCTGCAAGTTTCAGGTCCGTGCAGTAGAACTGTCTTGACGTTCGTATTGAAGATTCTGACTTTGATACTGGTCGAGTTTTTTTGAGCTCTATATGTTCTTCATCTGTAGGAATGCATCCATTGCTTTGCAAATCCTTGTTGGAAAAGCGTCTTATTTAGAAATATGAACATGAAATCCTGATATTTGGAAACCGAATTTTGTTGTTTTGCATGATACAGTTCATTCTCGTGACCTACTTTCTGATTGGATAGTATTTGATTGGTTGATCTCAAGGTCTTACTTGAACTATCCAAGTTTGTTAGTTTGACTTAGTTCTACTGGATAGCTGCGTGTGAAACTGGATTCACTGTAAACTAGGTTTACTACGTTATTGCTTGTGTTTTTAGCTTGTATCTTCATAGTTGACGGTACTATGTTATATGGACCAGCTTCATGCGAGTTTATGTGACCTTGTGGATGTCCATCTACATTTGGGGTTATATATATAACAAACTTTATATGAAGTTTGTAAATTAGTGTGAGGAGTTAGGAATAAGATTTACATCTAGACGGTGAGGTTACGAAATTAGGCTAGGGTTTTCACCACGAATTCACATCAGATAGAATACCGAAATTCTATCTAACAGTTTTGCTGAGTTCATTTTGCGCTAGAATCTATGAATTATAATCTCACTATTAAATTATACATAAATCCGATCGCTTGAGTTTTACTTCACTGTTGTTTTGTCATTTGTTTTCTCTTCCAGTTTGTTCCCACTTCAAAAATGTTAGCGGGTTTGTTTAGTAATTTGATACATAAGCCTGAAGTTCTGTGTCGAAAATCAATTTTTCATTTTGTGAATGTTCGAAAATGTCCATATAGCACTGAACAAGATGATATACCGTTTCATCTCATGGTTGAAGGTTATTATGACAAGGCTTCAGCCCTTGTTGAACAAAATTTGATGTCAAAACTTCAATCAAAAGCGCCAGATAATGAAAAAACAAAGATTGTTAAAGGAACCCTTAACATAATTCGGCCACCTACTCACATTTTCGAGGTTAACTTTCCCCATAAAGCCGATGACGGAACGTTCAAGATCATTCAGGGCTTTAGAGCTCAACATAGTGTGCACAGGCGACCCACTAAGGGTGGCATTCGGTATAGTATGGATGTATGCAGAGAAGAAGTTATGGCTCTTGCTGCTCTGATGACCTACAAATGTGCTGTCGTAGATGTTCCGTTTGGTGGTGCCAAGGGGGGAATTAAGATAAATCCTAAAGACCACTCTCCGGCAGAATTAGAAAGGATAACCCGTCGGTTTGCACTAGAGTTGGCAAAACAAGGATTTCTTGGTTAGTTCGTATAAATTCATGTAGGTCTTCAGGTCCTGGAACTGATGTTCCTGCTCCGGATATGGGGACTGGACCCCGGGAGATGAGCTGGATTGCGGATACGTATGCAAACACCGTAGGTACGTTCAAATTAATCGTTAACTAGTGTTTTGCGCATTATTGGTAAGTTCATATTAGTTTGTTTAGACACATCTTTTCTGTTCTTTCCAGGTTTCAAACATATTACTTCTAACATTTTTGGAACTTCATTGCTTTTTTGTAGGACATAACGATATGCACAGTCATGCTTGTGTAACAGGAAAGTCTATCGCTATGGGTGGTATTCACGGTCGCATTTCTGCAACAGGACGCGTAAGTTATCGTCTGATAATCACTTCCACCTGTTGACCATACTAATTTTACACAAATATTAACTTCGCAACCAAAAAACTCGTAAACGTTTTTGTTGTAGCAGTAATTTGCAAGCTCTTTTTTGTTTTATATTGCAATATCAGTGACCATACATTTGGGTTGATTATGAACTTCCATGTTCAACGTTTTATTGTTAACTGCTGCATTTTTGTTGTTGATAACTTTAACTTTTCAGGGGGTCTATCATGGGATAGACAACTTCTTAAATAACCCAAGATATGCAGATGCTATCGGTTTATCCCCGGGGCTGAAGGATAAAACTTTCATTGTTCAGGGATTCGGGAATGTTGGTTTGCATACAATGCGTTATCTTGTACGAGCTGGTGCAAAATGTATTGGTATTGCTGAAATCGACGGACAGATTTACAACGCAGATGGTATAGACCCACGAGAACTCGAAGATTGGCAAATTGTAAGTTTTGTCTTATTTTTTGGTATCCTGTTGTAACAGACGTTTTGTCTACTAATTCCTGAAGTTTACCTTTTGAAAGTTTTCTCTGAAGCGATTTTGTTTGACCAGTGGTTTCGTAATTTTGAACATGAGTTACTCATCTAAGGGTCTGCAGTTCATTGTTACTTGTGGCGTCCATTGATCGAATATTTAAATTTTTAATTCTAGGGTTTATTCATGTTCATTATCATGATGCTTCATCTATGCAGTTTCCTTTACTGGCAACATAGTGTATGAAATACAGATAGTAAAACTGTTTTTTGTGTACTACTCGAATATGCTAAACGAGCATGTGGCACATCACTCGTTATAGCTATGTAACGCCTCCAAATACCCTGGTATGGCTGAGGGTGTGGATAGTTTACTCTTCCTTTCGAAATGCTCTCATATGGTTATGCCTATATAACCAGTACCAGGGAAGTTCTACTCACTGAAATTGCTATGGGACTGTTTTTAAGAAAACCACCTACTTCGGTATAGGCGCCCAAGTAGTATCCCAATCCACACGAACTAAGTAACGACTGCATCTAGATAAACTATTTATGCTTTTACTCCCATCCTCGCAAATCATACATTGAACCACTTGTCTATCCCTTCAATCACACTTTGTGTATTCCTTTATCCTTCAACTCATGTAGCAGCTCACCTATGGTAGAAATCCTGTCCTATTTAAACGATCTCAAGTCACTGACTGGTCAAGGGTTAAGCGCTAGCACCGAACACGAGTTCTGAACCAGCCTTTCTGAATCCACCTATGCCACTCTAACTAGCCTCCTTCAAAAAGCACACACTAATCCAGATCGGACAACAGATAGGGTTGGCTATGTCTTCAGAAGGTTTCAACATCGATGTCTGTTGTCTATCCGATATCTGTATTCAAGACTCTAGTGAAGAACTGTAAATTGGCTCTCCATCTGTTGCTTCAAAAGCTTGTCTCGTGTGTGGTTATCCAGGGACCCTGTGACGTCTTCGTCCGGTTTTTGTAGCGTTGGCGTTGCACTAAGCGCCAGAATATAAGCAGGACTAATCTATGAGGTCCCAATCAACGGTCGATTATTTACTACTAAATAAGAATGCCTCATCAATTTGGGAAGAAATCGATGTGGGAAACGATGACTTTTCTTGATCTCCTCCTATGCCGCAACAAATTGCCTGGATTCTATCAAGGATGAGTCCTACCACCAGTTAAGTGGTCTCCGGAAAGTGCGTCCAACAGATATTGTGGTACTAGCCGGAGATTCGAATGTGCAGGTCGGGCGTCTAGAGACCGAGGGGATCCGTTTGAGTAGCCAATGGGAACTCGTCGGTTGCAGGTCAGATAACGGTGAGCGTCTACTGGAACTTTGCACAGACTACAGACTGTTTCTGATTAGGACTAACTGCCGGTACAGTAATCGCCGATGTACTACCTGGTGTCCTAACTCTGCATTCAAGCCTGGACTCAGACTGATCACATCACGTTCAGTTGGCGTGGTTGTGTACAAGACTAATCATACCCTTGTTTGCGCAAGAAGCAGGCTAGATTTCGATCTGCTCGAAGATATATTTATCATATCTTCACCCCCTGTTAAATGTCAGAACGCCGCCAAACTTATCTCAGGTCAACAATCATTGTGTTCTTCGACATCAGGGCCGCCTTCGATCCATTGAACTAAACTGTTCTCTAAGATTGTCTGTTGAAGAAGGGTGTACCTGAGAAGAGTATTAACATCGTTAAGGTCCTATATGCAAACACTTCAAAGAGAATGAAAGCATACAACCACCTCTCCATTGTGTATTCAAGCAGTAGGGTTAGACAGGATTACCGAATCTCATCATTCCTTTCCAATTTCCCATGGATAACGTTTAAGATGCACCCATGATGGGTGTAGATAATTGTGATGTGGTTGTTATCTGGAGAAAGACTTTTCTATCTTGAGTATGCGGATGATATTATCTTGCTGTACGATGATACCCAAGTCATGCAATCCGCACATAATCAGTGTCCGTATGTATAGCGTGTACTTTCCATCTTCTAAGTGCATAGTACTTGTACAGGACTGGGAGAATCCTGAACTTGAGTTCACTCTTGGTAGGGAACAGATAGAAGTAGTCGATTTCATGTATCTGGGTAGCTGCATAAATGCTGGTAGTGACATGAATGATGAAATCAGTTCACGTATAGGGAAGGCCAGAGCAGTTTATGCCAATTTGGGCCATTTATGATGTTAGTGTGACTGTAAAGGGTTGGATCTGTAATGCGTCGATGAGAGCAATTATATGGTATGGTTATGAAACCTGATCTCGAAGTTGAGGATGTTAAACGACTCTGTGTTTGATCGTCGTTGTCTTTGGAAGTTTGCTGACATCCAGTGACACTCCATGTTAGTAGCGCAGAGGTTCGTCAACGTGTATTTTGGCACAGCGATGATAACTCATTTGATGTGACCATTTCGAATCACTGACTTCGGTGAATTGTACATGTGCTACGAATTTTGTCTCAGCAAATTCCACATCGTGTATTATTTGCTGACGCAAGGACTGATTGGAAAATGCGAAGGTGTTGTTGGTTTTTGACGTAGTACTGGGGTACGAAAGAAAGCTGTATAGGACCGGCATCCGTTGTTTCTTCACGATTCTGTTCAAAGTCCTTGAGGCGATACGACACGGTGTTCAGAGTAGAATCCAGTAGCGATCATTCTGTAGCTCTTACTTTCTTCATATAAGTAAGAGGAACTCCCTAATTGAATCCTCTGTGTGGTTGTATTTTGCCTAACTGAACTGCTCCTATTATTATTATTATTATTATTATTATTATTATTGTTTCACCCTCATGCATTAATTTCTATTCACTGTTGTTCCTTTTTATTATACTCATCGTTTCTCTATCTCTTCACAATCTGATACTTATTGTGTGCCACATGTATGTTTTTGGTCCCTCTTTGTATTAGTGTTTATGTGTTTAAATAAACAAATAAATAAAATAGATGTAATATACTATTACCTAGGTGCCAATTCGAAAATAGGTGATTGCGTCGATAGATTATGACATAGTTCATACTTCAAATTTCCACTTCATGAGATAACCTTGGCTATGTATGAAGTTTCGACACGTGACTAATCCGCTTGTGTCGGTAAGAACTTACTGAACTCTAGCGATATAGTCAACTCATTCGTTGACCAGACACTTGGGTAAGAGCAATACTTAAGATGTTTTGAATAGTGATTATTCCCGGTTGCTCAAACCGAAGCAGGTAGGTGGGTTTCCAAATGTGGGACTTAGTGGTGGAAAGCTGAATGTCCTTATTAATAAACCACCACTCAACAGAACGAAATGCAATTGTAATCTGAGTTTACATCTATGGGAATCCCATTCATAATTTGCATTACTTCATATAACGTGTCGTAATATTCCACAACAAACTTTTCCCATCATTTAAATAGTTTCTGTATAAGTAGTAAATACCTTTAGTAGCTATTATTTTAGGGACCCTATTTTTGATACTACTGGAATTCACGTAACGTCGATATATGCGTTCGTTGTACTCTTAGCATATTACATATAGTCATAAGTAGTTCACAAATATAAGCACCAAAGAGTCATCTGCATACGACTCACGTTTTTTCTCCTCAAAATAAAGTCTAAAGCGCCAGCTCTTTCGGATTGATAAGTAGGATATTTTCATGGGTTTGTAAATTGCATTTTTTAAAATTTAGTAATCAGTATACATCTGTCTAATTTGTTTATCACATTGATTCAGCACTAGTTACTGTCTTGCCTGTTGTCTATACTGAACATCTGTAGGTATCGTCTAAACTTCTGTCATTTCATTTTATTTGCTTTTGTTATGAATCAGTTTTCTGATTGATACGTATTTTACGTGTTACTTAAAACTTTCTAGACATCTATCTCGATACCAGTGGCGGAGGTTGCTCCAGTGTAATAAGGAGAATTTGTGTTTCGTGAAAGCGGCAAACTGGCTTCTTCACTACGAAGAACGATATAAAATTCCATCTCCGGTTCATACTTTGACCAAACTCAGCATTAAAAATCTAGCTGCCCTTAAGGCATTATATATATATATATATATATATATATATATATATATATATATATACATATGGCGCATATATATATATATATATATTTGGTTCTCTCTTGTACCAACATTTATGTGTTCAAATAAATAAATAATAATAAGGCATGATACCCCGTCTAAAAAAATATGTAAGTGACTTGCTCTTCGAAGAAGTCTAGCTTCTGTTAATTACAGTATTAGTTTTCACTATTTTTGGGCGTGTTATATTTGTTTTATCAAAACTTCTGTTTTATTACTTAACGATAGGCAAACGGTACGATTGTTGGCTTTCCACATGCAAAACCATATACAAAAGGTTCTCTTCTTTTCGAAGAATGTGATATCCTTATTCCTGCGGCAAATGAAAAACAAATCCATAGTGGCAACGCTGATAAGATCAGAGCGAAATTAATTGGGGAGGGTGCAAATGGTCCCACCACACCAAAAGCTGATAAAGTTAGTTTTTTTTGCGAGCTTATTTGTTGTTTCATAAACAAACTTCTGTCTAGATACAGAATTAATCATTTGGCAACTAATTCACTAAATATGGTGCTCATATTTCATGGCATTTTTTATAAAGTTCATAAATTACATTTTCGCCATCCCACAAATCACAGTTTTGTTAGCTAGTCCACTGTATTCACTAATTCTCTTACTTCGTTTGCTAGATTTGAATTTCTTGGTTGGCGGTATGCCAAATCATAGATTTAAGTTCAGTTCAACTGTAGATATTTCGTATTTAATTCCATTCCAGATACTGCGGGAGAAGAATAAGCTGGTTATTCCAGATTTGTATCTGAATGCTGGTGGTGTTACTGTCTCGTATTTTGAATGGCTTAAAAATTTAAATCACGTGAGCTATGGTCGACTAACCTTTAAGTACGAACGAGATTCCAACTATCAGTTACTAAGTAAGTTATTTCATCTTCATAAATCGAAAACATAAGTACTATTTTTAAAGTATATTTTACGTTAATTAACTATTAAAAGGAGTAATATGGTCTTTTTACGTCATAATCTACCTTGAATTAATACTTCTCGTACCTAATACTCATTGGGTTGCCGTCCAGTATGTATTTTACTTCAATCGTGAAGGTGTTTCTGATAATCGACTTTTTCGTGAGTTAATGACACGAAAATAAAACCGACAAGTTGCCTTAGTGTTCCCAGTTTTTAGTTAGCAGCGCAACTTACTATTAACCATAGCACGTGAAATTACAAATTCACTGTACAAATGGTCGACAGTATGTTTAAATTATTGATGGAATCCACTAGTCAGTAATAATGTGTTCTCATATTTATTTATTTTTGGTCATACGAGCTCTTAATATCATACTCAAAGCTCATTTACTACAGACTTACTCGTGAATTATGTTTAGATATAACATTTTTGGCAAAGTCTATAAAATCTCCCGACCAGTTTTTATTTGGGGTATAGAGAATGTTATTTCTAGTAAGCCATGATATCATCATGTCGATTGAAGAGTATTTATACGGTTTCTCTGTGTAGGGGAATTTAGGTAGATGTCTTGCAGACCTCGAAAATGCCTCATTTGAAGCGAGTCTAGAAATGCATTTGTTCACTATGAATCAAATCTTTAATCGGAACTCATTTGGTCACATCTGTTTACCTCCTATTGGGGGAAATAAAGCGTAAATAAAGTCTTTATAAGTCCATATTCCATATGAAATATAACATATCTTCAATTAATTAACCACTGAGTAGTGACTGGTGTCGTGTTTGTCTAGCCTCTTGGTATTGATCTCTAACCTTATCAATCAATCGGTTAGCAATAACTGCTGGGAGTTATGGGTCGATAATCTACTTCCAGGGCTCAACGTCTTGAGAAACAGCTTAACTGTCCATTATTCAGCAGCAATCAATGGCAGACGAGCAAAATACCCTGTGAACTCAGGTCAGATTAAGCAGACTGACAAACAGGAAGCAGAATACGATGAGGAGTTTTGATTGCTCAAACCAACTAAGGTTTTATCTAATTTATGAATGAAATGTAATCTAAGGTAAAACTAAGAACCCCACTTAGTAACAACAGTTTAACTCTTTCATTTCTGTCTCTGATGCCCATTTAGTGTCTGCCAGTTCATCGAGAATTATCTAAAAAACAGTAGTCATACATGAAAGCACTAGTTTAAGTTACTGCGTTTTACAGTAACACAGAAAATCAGGAAAGATAAGAGAAATATTGAATCAAAAAATAGGAGGGGGTAGACTGACGTGGAAAAAAATAGGTTCCGAATTGTGAAAACCTTAAGATTTGAATATTTGGGATAGCTAATTAGAGTTAAAATTGAATCTTTTTTTGCAATCTGGAAGTGTATGTATGCTAGTTTCACATATGGGGCTGGAATTCTAGGTGCCTCAAGCTGTAGCTGGTAGCTGTTGTCATATTTTGAATGTTAGTCGAATTTTTCGCTCACCACTTTCCATTCCAATGTGGTCAGTAAAGAGAAATTAACATTTAACTCATTCACTTCACATTTTTATCCAGAGATAAATTTATTTACCTCGTTTTTTTTAAATTACAGATAGTGTACAACAGTCTCTAGAGAAGAAGTTCGCTGACAAAATACCGATTACACCATCCGAAGATTTTCAGCTTCGCATTGCGGTAATTTGGTATTTTTGGTCTCCTGTTTTTGTCATGTTATCAGAATTAAAATTATTTGGAAAGTATGCTATCTTGTTATTAGACCATCTATTGTATGCAAATTCTTCCTGAAAATTGTATCCACATAAATCATAGCCTGTTAAAATATTTGTATTAGATCCAGCTTACATAAATAATCTATATGTAGTTGCGCCACACTCGAATTATATTAAATTTGGTTTGTTGAGCACTGTTGTTTAGTGTTCGGCGTGCTACAATGGCCCATACTTATTCAGTAATGGATTTTTGTCTCTTTAATATGTGCACACCTTGAGTAATTTATTAATAAAGTTTATTGTGCATGTTTGAGGCTGTTTAACTGCAGTTTCATAACATTTATCCACTGCAAATGACAATTCCTTGTTATACATTTTTTGAATGATCTACAAACTACGGTTTAATAATGTACTTATATAAACCTTGTAACGTTGAGGCTTCTTACTTGTAAGGTGACATGTCTTGATTTGTATCGTATTTGTGTAGCCTAATGTTGGATACCTAGTGCTAAAGTTACTCTTCTCAACTCAAATAATTTCAATTGATAGATCTTTGTAGTAATACTCTGTCAATTTTCGGGTTATGTCCATCTCTGTAGATCATCTAAAAGGATTGGGAGTTTAGACGGTTGGTTAGTACAGAAAACTTTTACAGTATATAGAGTAAATCTGAAATAATGTTTTAATGAAACCGTTTTTGTCCGTCTTATATGTAAGTTTGCTTTCATCTGTTCCAGGTTGTCTGTGGAAACTAAACTATAGTTTGGGTCAAGGAGTTGCCTTTTAGCTTTAGGATAAAATAACTTTGATAGGCTTCAATCACATTTCAGGTTACCGGTGTGTATGACTGACAAGTAGATGAACGTAGAACCTAGAAAAAATATTAGCCGAAGTTACCATAACACGTCATAGTGAAATAAAATTAACATGATTAATAGTGAAACATTCGAAATAATAGTCGTATCAATTATAATGTAGAAAGATTAAACGTTGAAATACTTATTTCGAGAAGGGTTGAATTTGACGAATAAAAAGTTTAAAATAATGTTAAAGCTTACATTTAAGCGAGAATACAGGGCGGATGCATCTGTCCCACTTTGACCCAAAGCCGCCAACCATTGGTTTGGGTTATCTAGCGGACCTCGACCAGAACATGTGGGTCTGTCAACTCAGCTTAGTTTAATAGTCAGTGATTTCACAAACTGATGACATGTCTTTGGTGTGTCTATCCCTATTTCTCTGCCAGGCAATATCGCACTTCGAGGTAAGCTGTGATAAAACATACATAAAACATGCCACAGTCGTTCAAGATTCACAACCCCATCTACACTTAGTATCCTATGCCTAGTCTTACGATTTTTCACTTGGTCGTTCCACAATTAATGAAGAATTCTTTGAAAGCAACTATGGTCAAATATCCACAGCCTACATATGTTTTTTTACTCTCAAACCCATATGCCTGATTAAACTGGTATGCTGTATATTCGTCATTCAATAAGCCCGCGTCACAAGTAACTCAATCTGGCAAAAGCCAAGCAAGTTTTCGAAATCCATGTCGGAATTTCGTGCTCCTAAATCATAGAATAAACTGATCAATGCTTGCTGGATTTCAGTGATCCTTCAACGGTTTTCATTCCATAATCTAAACTATATTCGAATCACATAGTTGTTCTGTTGAATGATTTTGATGAGTCTAGAAATCTAACAAAATTCTCTTTAGATACAAATGTACTAACCAAGTTTTTAGTCAATCACTGGAATTTACAAAATTGAATACATATTTTGTTACTCATAGCCTCGAAAATTGCTGAGCCCTTTAAATGAATATATAGATCTGTAATTTCTAAAGCTTTTTGATATCCCCTATATTTGATCGTATTGATGTTAATATGATACTATTTTCAATTCTCATACTTTATTTTCCAAGACACTTGCTTTTAATACGATAATCCACTTACAGAATACAATGGTCAATTTGCATCTTACAATTATCATTATTTGTACTTAATCTAATTTTTTAAATTCAATAATAATATCTAGTTTACTTAATTTGCTTTTACATTAACACTTCAGGGGGCATCTGAACGCGATATTGTTCACTCTGGTCTGGAGTATACTATGGAGCGATCTGCTAAAGTAAATTGACACCAACTTAGTTTTCTAGTGTGATTCAATGTGATAATTACATTTAGAACAATTATTTCATGTTTTAGATGTCATCATAATATAAGTACCATCCAATGTATTACTGATTGATATCCGGTTAATTAATAGTTCTACGTCTATCCTCCTTATTCTTTAAATTCCGAAAGGTGTAGTTAAAGCAGATGATCAAGAGTACTTAAACCTTAGTTTTTTCTGTTATGGCTTCTGCCCCTGTCAATTATCACGTGACAAAACCGTTAATCAGAATCCCGAATTATATGACCTCATTCCTGTGCTAAACTAGTGACATGTCAACCAGCACTAGTAGCCTTGTGTCAACTCTGAATCTTCAGTGGTCCTCAAAATAGTAATTTATCGCATAGCCCTGCCCTTTGGGTCTAGAACACAATCTCAGCCTCCACTGTATGGATAATATATTTCAGACATACGTAGTTTATATACAGGCAAACCAGACCACACCATAAAATAGAAAATAACAGTTATACAAGATTAAACCAAAAGTGGCTATGAGTGTAAGAGACTAACTAATCGATTGTTAATAATTTGAGAATACTAAATCGTATAATAGTAGTCAATAGGTCAGATGAAAGCTTATGATAAAAGGAACATGAATTTACAAAAAACACTATTTACATAATAGTTATCCAATAAGAATATATGTGATAATAATCCATAAATAATTCCTAGCAGTTACCACTCATTTATTCTTCGTTCGGATTTAACAGTTTCAGCCCTCGTTAGGGATCAAGAGTCACTAGCATAACTGCAGCAGAAATTTATATCGTTAAAAGAAGTCACTCACTCATTTCTCTGAATAGGCTATTTCGGTTATTTTCATTGTACAGAGTCAAGATAAATAGACTTTGGAAACAAAAAGATGTATTTGAAAATATGACTTTTATTACATTTTACGCTAAATAGACTGGTATTTCATGTTGGAATATGCTTGATTAAGCACTGTTGAATCACATTTAGATGTCATCTTGATATCGTCTGACGTTTGGGTCTTGAACATTTATTTCATTGGTTATCGGTTATAACTCTAGTATGTTTGGTTTTGGAGTTGCACCCACACACTAGATCTCAAACATTCCTCCTTTGTCTATCCGAGATTCAACTAAACCAATATGCTATCGTAGTTGTATCAACGCTGATATGAACATATACCAAAACACAATTGCGTTTTATCAGCCAACCACTCCTAGTTAATTAGATTTATTGTTTCAAAAATGAAAGCAAAATACTAAAACTGAAATATTTAATTGATCATTGTTTGATCTAACATGATGTACATTGTAATTCTATCAGAGCAGTAAGAAGATGTAGTTAATGTCAAAAATGTGATGTATTTGCATTATACGTTACAAACAATATGGTCACATATAATTGTCAAAGCAGTCATAAAAACTAATGAAATTCAGTTGGATAAAATGTTAACTTTCCATTCAGTCAGTCAGTAACAACGTAGAACTTCGTACGTACGTACGTACATCGGTTCGAGTTGCCACACCACATTAGCACAGAGATGCAGTTGTCGAGTCAGATCCCGTAGTGGTAGAGGTGGCAAGAGTATAAGCAGTAATCGGAAAGATTAGGGTTTGGAGATGTTATTTAAAGAGTATAATCCAGTGAAATAAATTTGGAAAGAGGAAAAAAGAAAGGGACATGAAGAATTCAGAAGATTGGAATTTGGGAGAACACAAAGAGCGGATGCACTTGCACCATTGCAAACGATTTTGAGCCATGTCATTCAGGGTCTCTAACTATCGGTTGCTATCATCTCGCGGTCCCCAACCAGGCAATCTACACCTATCAACATGACTCAGTCCACTTGTCAGTGACTTCCTGGACTTGTGCCATGTTTTGTTCTGGCCGCCCCTAGCTTTCTTCCAACCTACTCCTATACCACTGAACATCGCACGTCGAGGCAGTCGGTGGTTGGGCATACGTAACACGTGTCCCAGCCATCTCAACTGAGGAAGTTTCACTACTTCATTAATTGATTTACCATCCTCACCTAGTACCCGTTTCCTAACAAATGCATTAATTACTCGGTGGTCCCAGGATATACGAGCAATATATCGAAGACACCTATGATCAAATGCTAGTAAACTACGGATATCCTTTACTCTTCCCCGCCATGTTTCAGTGCCATAATGTAGAACTGAAAGAACTGCTGCTCAGTAAACCTGTCCTTTGGTTGATAGACGGATATCTCGCCTACGCCATAAATGACGCAAGTTCGTAAAAGCTAGTCGAGCCTTCTGTATTCGTGCTGAGATTTCGTCACACACCAGACCACAAGGGCTAGTGAGACTCCCAAGATAAGTGAAGCGGTCGACACGCTCAACTACTTCACTCCCTATCATTAGTTCGGGTGTCAATGCAACCCAATCCTCAAGCAGTATTTTGCATTTCGAGGGAGAGAATCGCATGCCGAATATGCTTGCATTGTTGCTTAGAGTGGTCAGAAGACTGCATTTTGTCAGCACCTTCACCAAATAAAACTGTCATCAGCATATTCTAGGTCAAAAAGTGAATTTCCCGATAAAAGTTCAACTCCTGGAAATTTAGATGAGGAAAGTGTTATCTCTAGAAGTACGTCGACGACAAAACCAACCAAGAATGGAGAGAGTGGACAGCCCTGACGAACACCACTTGACGTAATCAATTCTGATTACAGTTATCCATAAGCTCTCACTCTACCAGTTGTGTTCGAGTAGAGAGCCTTTATAAGGTTAATATACTTCTTTGGTACTCCTTTCAGTTATAAACACTGTTATTGAACCTCGAATACTGGCTTATGGTCGAGAAATACTACGATTGTGGGGCGTCTGAATGTGTGTCTGTATTCTAGAACCTGACGTAGTGTGCATATCTGGTCTATACAACCACGTCCAGATTGAAAACCAGTCTGGTTTTCTCTAGTCTGCTCTTCACGAGCTTTAGTTATGCGTCGAAGTATTATTGAAGCTAATATTTTAGACACCAGATTAGTCAAGCTTTTTCCTCTGTGGTTTTCACAAGAGGACTTTTGTCCTTTCTTATAGACTGGCACGATCAGTGATTGAGACCAGTCAGATGGGATTACGTCCAGTTCCCAGATTCTACCTAAGACCTCGGTCAATCTCGCTACTAATACTGGACCACCATCCTTAAAAATCTCAGGGTTAAACCTTTCAGGGCCTGGTGCTCTCCCTTGCTTCAGATTTTCTATAGCTTTTCCAATTTCGTAAAGAGTCGGAGGATCTTCATTAACTTGCCATTCAGGTCGACTGGAGATCAATTAAATTTCATTGTTTTCCATTTCAAAATGCCTCGATAAGTGTACTTATTTCCAGATTGTTCGAAATGTATAGAGTGAATGCATTTTATTTTTCAGATCAATAATGCTTTTCACTGGTCTGTTAAGCTTTATGAAAGGGACTAATTGTTTCAGATCCTGTTAAACCTGCACTTAATCCGTCAACTTAATTCTGTTTTCTTAGTACGACACGTATGTTGTCAGTAAATCAGCCTGAATAACATTTATCAGTATATTTTAGTCATTACATCAGATGTAATGTTCACTGCTACTCTGTTATCACTTCAAGAGGTAATTATCGATCTCTCTCGCGTTCTACATAGAGTCCATTGTGTTATATCCTAGTTAAGGTTACATTACTAGTAACGTCTGAAACCTATTAATGGACTAATATTACTAATATATTCTTATGGTGTAAATATTCAGTAACTAGATAATGTATATCTATATTCCCCTTGTTATAAGCTTTATTTCGACCTATATATTATTATTGTACGATTTACTGTTCTTAAGCTATGTTCAGTTTATTGACTACTGCCTCTCACATTCACAGCCACTTTTTGGCTTTATTGTATATGAATATTATTTCCTATTTTATGCTGCATTGCGGTTTGTTTGTTTGGTATATAAACCCAGTATGTTTGAAATAAATGATTCGCATAGTGGAGGCTGTTATTGACATTCTGGACTCAGCTAGATGGGTTAGACGATCAACGCACCAATAAGACGGTAGGCTGATCAGACCGTTCGGACGTCATTGACTTAGTACAGTATAAGAGCGAATAAGTCGTATTTTGATTGGCGAATAAATTACGTGATAACAAGCGGCTCATAAAGTCACAACACATTGGTTTAATAGAAACTAGTTATTTGGGCGAAAGTAAAATAAAATCGTTATTTCATTTAATGAAATTAATCCTATTCCCTTAGGTACCTTTACAGTCGCTATTTCTCCGGTTTCATAATCAACTAATTCTAAAGAATGTTTTATAGATATTATTTCTTGTTGTTAATATACTTTACTCGTTTGTTCGTAATTTTAATTTATTTTTGTAATATTATAGCGCATCATGAATATTGCGAATGCCTACAACCTTGGATTAGATGTTCGTACAGCTGCATATATCAGTGCGATTGAAAAAATATACAATGTCTACCTGGAATCTGGCTTTGTCTTCACTTAAATGTATTGTGCAAATTCATGTCTTTATGGTCGAAATTGCAATTACGGCATAGTAAAAAGGAACTACACATCATTTGTATCAATAAAAGATATTCAATTGGCAGTTCTTTTATGTAATCAAAATAAAATATCTTTTATAGGTATTGGAAGTAATTTAGTTTTGTTTGTTTACTAAGATATGACAATGTGTTCAATTTTTTCTAACTTTCAAACGTAGTCACAACTTCAATAATCCGTATATATATATATATATATATATATATATATATATATATATATATATATAAAGCTTAGCGAGTATCAGCGAAGTCACACTTGAAGGAGAAGCACTGGAAGAGGTGTAAACTTTCACGTACCTGGGAAGCATCATCGATGGATAAGGAGGATCTGATGCAGACGTAAGGGCAATGATTGACAAAGCAACGGATGCATTCCTACAGATGAAGAATATATAGAACTCAAAAAAACTCGACCAGTATCAAAGTCAGAATCTTCAATACGAACGTCAAGACAGTTCTACTGCACGGACCTGAAACTTGCAGAACTACTACAACCAGCATCAAAAGATACAAGTAATTATGAATAGTTGTTTAGTCAAGATACTGAATTTTCGTTGTCTGGATCCCATGAGCAACAGTTTATTGTGGGAGAGAACAAACAAGCTTCCAGTTAAAGAGGAAATTAGGAAAAGATGCTGGAATTTGATGGAACATACATTACAGAAATCACCGAGCTGTATCATGAGGCAAGTGCTAACTTGGAATCGTGCAGGGTAACGGAAAGGTAGAAGAACAAAGAGCATAGTGCACTGAGAATTGGAAGCAGACATGAAAAGGATGAATAACAACTGGAAAGGATTGCTCAAGACAGAGATGGATGGGTAATGCTGTTGACCAGAAGCGGCCTATGCTCCTCCATGAGGGGTAACTGGCGCAAGTAGGTAAGTACATTTGATTGTCTCACAATGTGCAGATGATATTGTCATATGGTAGGTGGCATCTTGTGCGCGGAAAATAACCTACACATTCGATCCAGACTGACGTCAGCACACGGAAGCTAAACATGAATTCTAATATTGGTTAGAATTAGGAAACACGGCTTCGAATTGATTAAAGTTATTACTCTGAATATCCACAGCAGCCTTTATTAGCCAACTCGGTTATCAGAGTTTAGAGATATTTATAGTCCATTCTTTATTTAAATTATAGGCACCGAGGTTTTACTTACGCCTGTGTCCTCGTTCACAACACTATGACTTGAGATAGGGCATTGTTAATGCTTATGCCATTCAATGGAGATGCAAATGGACACCTTTCAATGCATTAAATGTAAGTTTAAAGATAACATCAAACTATGTATCTGAAGGTAAGTCACGATCAGCTACATGTTACAAAACGAATGGTTTTACGTTTATTCCTTCTGTTCTACCGAATGAAACTGGAACGTGTTCTAAAAAATGTCAGTTAGTCTTTACATGCGGACATTATGTGTGGCTATTTTCGAGGTTGGAAGCTACTGTATACAAATCGAGATTTTCTGTAAGCTGCTTTTCTCTCGTTCAAACAAATACTTCGTTTAAGACGCTTAGAATGTTTGCTTCGTTGATCGGTCCTCTAAAGAGTTTTTGAAATGTCATGCTTGTATCTAACATTGGTACGTTTTCCGAGTCAGTCTGATAACATTTAAGACATTTTCAATTCGCTTGGGGAAGAAGTATGTGTATAAGTCAATTTCGCAAACCACAATTACTCGTCTATACAGTCCTCTGTGAATACTTTTCAAAATCTCCGTGGAAAAGAAAAGAACTAGATTTAACCTTTGTCTAAAGGGAGAAAACTAGAAGTTCATTATCTGGTCGACTGGAGTTAGATTATGCGGATAAATCTCTTTACGAAGAAACCATTGAGAAATGAAATCTTAGAGTTTGATCCAGTTTTCAAAATAGATCGAATGCATTTTTGTTATAGCCCATAGCTGCCAATCAGAAGCAGCGAATTATCGATCGGACCAAGGACACGTAACACACGTGCGAGCAGCCTAGAGTCCTGCTTTCCGCCTAGCCCAGCCAGTTAAGTCCAGAACACTAGTCTCAGCCTCTGCAATATGAATCCTTATATTTCAGACATACTGAGTTTATATACCGATCAAACCGACCACAACGTAGCATAAAATAGAAAATAACATTTGTACAAAATTTGGCCAAATGTAGCTGTGACTGTGGGAGGTAGTGACTAATAGACAGGGCATAATTCAAGAATGGTAAAACGTGTAATAATGGTTCATAGGTCAAAATAAAGTTTATAATATGAATAGTTTAGTTATTTAACAGTTACACGATAAAAATATACGTTTAGTATTGGTCCATAAAAGGATCCAAAAGTTACCATTCAATATGTGTCTCGGGACCTAACAATTTCTGACATTCATTGAATCCCCAAAAATTATACCATCAGTAAAAACATAATACTGTTACTTTTCCTTCGATGAAGAATATTACTTTCTTCGTTAACTTGATCTTGAACAATTGTCTATGTAAAGAAGGATGTAAAGTTTTAGTAACATATTCGAAGCGAAAATGATACTTTGTTGGTAAGCTTCATAATCATCATTGATCGACAATTTTTTCTGATCAGTTAGCTATAGTCATACCATCTCAGCTAACTACTTTAAAAATAAATAACCATCATATCAACAAGAGTAAATTTTAGTTGCTTCATCATGTAGTAAGAACGATTAGTTCAGCGATGAGTTCTCTTTTCAGCGAATTCATTTTCAAAGCTGTACAATCGCAAATATATACACTTATTTTTACAGGATGATAATAATACTGATAATAAACTTGTTATACTTGGTGATAGTGAGGTTAAATAAACAAAGATATTAAAAAAAATTAAAACAAGGAAAGTTTAAGAATGTTAGGATTGTTATTGGCTTAAGTATTTATCAAAAGATAGATAGGGAAATTATCATTTGGAAAGGATGGCTCAGCATGATAAAATCAAATGTTGAAACATAGATGAAATGTAATGGGAATTATTGTGGAAATAAAAACAAACCAGTTGGGCGTAGAAGATTTAAAGGGAAGATGGAAGGTGAAGCAGATGGCTGTTAAGGAACAAGAGTATGAAAAGAGGGAAAAATTTTAATACATTAAGTTCATGGTAGAAGAAGAGGTTGTACCAGTCTCTCTTGCACACATAATTCTGGTTTTTCCAGATGTATAGCTATTGCTTCGGCAACGCAGAGAAGATGCAGTCTAATTATCTTAGGAAGAGTTCTACGTACCTTGCAGATGACTTTGTACACAGAGACTGTCTTGGTTCACAAGGTGTTCGATTATAGAACTTCTTATTGAGCTGTTGCCTCCTGTTTTTAGCCACGCCGAATGATGTTCTTGAATTATTTTGGATAAAGTACGCATCGAAATACCTATATATATAGCTCTATAAGAGCAGGTAAATTGGTCAGATGCGATAATTTATCTTTCAGATTACTGGTGAACAATGATCGACTGGAGAATAATATTCTCAATGTTGCTGGGAAGAATGTTCTTTTTAAGGAATCAGAAAGTCTCCTCTTCATCATTTATTCTATAGTTTAACATCAATTTACTGACCATTTTGGTCTGGACCCATAAATGAACAATTGTTCGATTACTTCAGGATCTGTTGACAACCAGGGTATCACAAAAAATATATTTATTGCACACCAATTATTTTTCGCTTTTTATGAAATCTTGCAATTAAGTATCTTGTCAACTATTATCGGTTATTTTTATGATTGACATTTAGGGCAACTTCATTTCTGATGTCGACTAATACTTTCGTTTCCTCTCCTATTTCTTTTGGAGTGTAAACCTTCATTACCAAACACATATATAATTTTCACAGGATTAACTTGAAGACTTCACTATAATTTATGAACACTTAGTTATTACCACAGTAATAATATAACTCAAGCCATTAGATATACCGATTTAATAATGAGTGATGTAGTCATTATAATATTTTCCAAGGTAAAATCAAATAAATAATACTATTAATTTATGGTTTTCTGGTAATCCATTTTTCATACTATATGATTAGAATTACCTTAATTGATCATATTTTTACTGTTCACTAGAAATTCGTTTGTTAGCAGCAAATGAGTGGCGTGACAATCTGCTGAATCAATATTTAAAAGAGGTAGAAGCTGGACTAACTTTATGTACCTTACGTATGTTAAACAAATATTTTGTAAACAAGAGACTTTTGTCCTCTTATGCACTATTACGAACATTGCAACCGCCGTAAGTAAACGGCTTGTTTGAACAAGAAAACTAATTTTTCATACATCTGACTGTTTGCTTGATGGAATTGACCGTTTATAAGTTCAAGTTTGCTATCTATTCATAGTGTCCATACTATCTGTGAGTTTATACATTCAAACATAATTTACTTGTTCAACAAAAAAATGACACATACCGTTACACCGTCGTGTAAATAAAGTTTATTACTTTTAATATGTAGCTAAAGTGAATAAATATATCTATTTCCGAAACTATCTTCTGAAAAAAATAGGTTAAAGGAATGAGTCACTGTAATCCAATATGTAAAATAGAGTACTACAAAACTTACGCAGCGACAAATAAATAAGCATACAGTTTACGTTGACTGTCGGAACAATTAAATGTGGAGTAGAGCAAATGATTACTAAAACATTATTATGGATCAGCTTAGTTTAAGACTATGGTTTAAGTACGCTAATTACTTATTAACGACTAGTCAATTCGGTATTATTCCCTGTTCTATTGATAATTCTTCTGTCAGTTTTGTCATTTTTTATCGTGTAATAATAATAATAATTTATATATTCTGAAAATAATAATTACAGAATTCAAGTCAGTTTATAGGCATGATCAATTTGATATAAATATTAACATTAGATGTACAGAACAAACATGTGATAGAAGAAAGTTTTAAGTATACTAGTTCAGTAATTGTTTAGGTAGTACATGTATTACAGCTATCCAATGCATCAGCCGGGAATTTTTAATATTTCTTAAATGGACAGCCTGGTGATTTATGAACGGAGTAATTAAGGTCGTTTTGTGTACGAGGTCGAATTTATGATAATTACCTACAACTAGAGAAATTAAAACGAACACAGCACAGAACAACAAAGCAGTAATTACCAAAATATGTCAATCAGGTCTACCAAAATGCGTGTGTCATGTGACACAGTGATATACTGTTGATGTTATTCAAATTAGTTAAAATTGCTGGGGACGGTGTTAACATAAAGTGACAGCAAGTAGGTGGTTTTACTTAGGGAATGCACTAATAAAGATGGCTAAACATTTAAAGTTCCTATAATATCACTTGTGGAATGAGATATAATTACAGGTGCTAGAACACTCAATGCATTTTCAGAGAAGCAGTATGCAGCGAACACATAATCGGAGTGATTTTATCGTACGGATAGATTGTGGTAGGTTATTCGAGAGTCTAGAAAATTTGCAGGTAAAGTGATTCATATAAAGAGATTATTTAGACTAAGTTTGTTTCACTAGCGCCAAGGAGTTACGGATGTCATAATAAGAAGTTTCTGCATATTGAATCACGTGATTGGATGTAAAGGATAGTTTATTAAGTAGTTTGAAGAAAAAGATGAAATTTAGTTTGAGTCTCCGCTTCCATAAAGGGTCTAGCCCAAGTTTATTACATCTAGAATTATAAGGTACAATCAGCTCCAAGAATACGAAGTGTAAATCGTCTCTGTACTGATTCCAGCCTTAATTTATCCTTTATGCGTGTACTGCTAAGAATGAACGTGCAATATTCTAGAAAACGTCGAACACAAACTTTGTACATTAAAATACGTGACTCATTGCTATAAAGGTTTCGAGTAATGTAACCTACTAGACGTTCAGACTTAGAGGTTTGTTTCAATATCTGTTCTGTAAACGACAAGTCTTGGGAGTATCTAAGTCCTAAGTCTACTACTGTATGTAACCTAGATAACACTTCTCCATTTATGGTAAGGTCTAGGTTGAGTGATGTATCGCCGAAGCATATCCATCCACATTTAGCCGTATTAAGCTCCAGTTGCCATTTTAAGCACCACTGTGCTACCTTGTTATGTGTTATGTCTTGTGAAACTCGTCGATTAGTTTGCCTAAGTTTACGGGCCCTCAGTATGAAAGCCTTGATAGGTTAAACTTCCGCACTTTTCAGTAGTAGAAGTCATGAGTCATTTGAAGCGAGACCACCATGGAAAACCTGGAAGCGCTGGACGGCCGTCTCGTCCTAGTATGGGACTCATCCGCTCACAAGTGACTGACTTCAAGATACACTCCTGGAGTTCTAGTGAGAAGCCGTGACCAGTGGAGTCCAACCAGGTTTGTTGTGAGATATCAGCTCACTTAAGACAATGGTGACGGTCGCGCAATTTCGTAGATTGGTTGAAGTTAGACATTAACACCGTTGGATGCCGGCTCAGTGGTCTAATGGTTAAGCGCTCGCGCGCTGGACTGACAGGTCCTGGGTTCGAGTCTCATTGGGGTCGGAATCTCAGGTGCGCACTGCTGAGGGGTCCCATAATAGGGCGAAACGGCCATCCAGTCCTTCCAGGTTTTCCATGGTGGTCTAGCTTCAATTGACTCATGATTTCAACTATTGAAATTACTAAAATCTCTACAAAACCCCTTTTGATTTCGCACTTTTGTTGGTGATAGATAATTATGAAATTAAGGTATGTGCTTCTGTTTATTTGTAAATTACAATATCAATTTATACGAATATTGGTCAAGATTAGAACCAATAGTTTGACAGGAATTGGGCGCCGAGTACAGACAAGACATTTTATGTGAAAATTATTTGAAATAATCTCAGCGATTGAAATTTAGATAATTCCAACGTTTCGTCCAGCTAACTTGTCTAGACTACGTCAGGGTGAAATATATATATAGCGTTTAACAATCAAATCTCTACTATGTTAATCCAATCATATTTGGATGTTGATTTTGTAAGTGGGATAACATGAGTCAGTTACATGGGAATCATGTGAAAATTTCACGATGTGGAAATAAATGACTGAAAACTAATTGTATGTATGTGTAAGATTAAGGTATTAATGATATTCAGTGTTAATGTTTTATATGAATGAATAAATAAAAGTGCAAGTTCAAGGTTGAAAAGATTGTTTCTGAATCATAGATGTGCGTGTCAAATGTGATTCATCAAATACATAATTGTATTGCTAAAATAACTCACATTAATTTCAGTCAAAATAACGATGGATGTGAAATAAACAGGTTGAATAAAGAAATGGTCGAATAACTTCTCAACGAATATTTTCCAGGTAGTCGCTTGTTGAATACCATCCTTTCGGTTCAAGCTGTTCGCGTTCGTTCATATATGCAGTGTTTCTGTTTCAATCTTTCCTTATGAATGTTAAAACCTTTCTGAACTATTTTTGTCCCTTCAAAATTAATCTTGTGTCCTGTTTCTAACGCATTTAAAGCTATCGCAGACTTATTCTCAAGTTTCTTTAAGTCTACCGAGGATTTGGGAACATTTTTCAAACTCTGTTTGTGTTCCTTCAACCTTACATTCAACTATCTGGGTGTTTCTCCTACATAAACTGCATTACAATCATGATAGTTGATCTCGTAGACAATAATTTGTTGTTCTTCCTTTGGTAACCTATCCTTAACTTTCACTAATGTCGATATTATGGTGTCACTCGCTCGAAAATACACTCTTATTTCATGCTTGTTTAGAATCCGCCTGATTTCTTCCTATGTTTCACTACGGTATAGGGTGACCACGGTGGGCTTCCCGTCTTTCCGTATACATTCTAGTTTGATTTTTCCTTCACTTATAACAATCTTATTTAAAAACTGTTTTGGGTAGTTGTTATCCCTAAGTGTAGACAATACTCTATTCCATTCAACTTGTTGATCTTCCTTATCTGTAACATTATCTCAAAGAACTACTACGATGTACACTCAACGTGAACCTCAATGACAGTTTGAATAGTTTTAATAGTTGCCACCCCTCAATTCAATTCACCTTAGAAGCAGAGGCAAAGGATGCTGGGTGGTTTTTTACAGATATATATATATATAAAATTTACCTGGAATGGACAGTACACGAATTTTCATAGTTGGATTCCACTGAGTAGAAAGAGAAACTTAATTCACTCTTTATCCTCTAGGATCGAACGAATCTGTTCCACTGACACAATAGATGAGGAAGTATTTCAACTCTCATCAGAAATGGTTATCCACCTAGATTCGTCGATAGCAACTTAACACCTAGACTTCATCTTGAAAAAGCATCGAGAGTACAGAAGAAAACGTTATTAATGAGTATGGAATTTAAAGCCCCCAAATGCCCTGGTACGGCCGAGAGTGGGGAGAGTCCGCTCTCCCTCTCGAAATACTCTCACACGGCCGCGCGTATACAGCCTCTGCCAGGGAAGTCCTACTCATTGCCTTCTCGTGGCGGGGGTGTTGTTTACGAAAATGAGAGGACGAAAAGCGAATGTCCGGCGCTTTAACCGGATTCAAAACCAATGGTGCACATGGACTCCAGTATCCTGCGGGAACAAATGGCGTATAAACCAATTGTTGGTCACCGGCTTCCATGGGACTGCATCTCCTTACGATGCTCCACTGCCTTGTGGATCAGACCTTCAGGTCGAAGGCTCGGGGTGTGGCCCCCTAAGATAACCACCTGCTTCGATTTGGGCACCCGGGCAGTATCACAGCCCTCACACATATCGAATGAGATTTGTGTGGCGCATATGTATTTGATGCCTCTTTGTACCATTATGTATGTGTTGAAATAAAATAAAATAAATGGAATTTAAAGGAGACACGGCTGCTGAAATCTTAAATAAACGGCTTTCAAAATCGTTGGATAAAACGTTCTACGCAGCTAAGCTCCGAATCGTTTTCTCAAGTCGGCCTACCATACTTGGATGTGTTAAGGATAAAATTCCGCTTTGGGCCATATCAATGTGTATCTATAAATTTACTTGCTCATGTGGGGCACGTTACATAGGCCGCACAAAGCGATCACTTTACGAACACATCTCAGAACGCTGTCCGGCTTGGCTTTTAAAAGGTGAATGTAAAACAATTACTGTTTCTATACAGGACACATCGCTTCAAATGCTTCCTCGTTTAAAAGAATCTAAATAGTCAAAGAGATTTCGAATCAATATATTATGCACTACTGAGGCACTGGTAATCCACAAACTCAAGCCCGAACTTTGCATGCAGAAACGATTCGTCCAACCTCTCATCCTTCCTTGGCCTTAATTCCCTTAATGGGTATGTTTCTGGATATTTTTTTCTTTCTTTCTGCACTTTTATCTGACCATTATTGAATTTTTTAAATTATTATTTTGCTATTTTAAACTCTAATAAGTTATTCTTCTTCTTATTATTATTATTATTATCTTATACAAGTTTTCTTGATTATGACCTTTATGTTTGTCGTTTTTTCTTCATATCTGTCAATTGGGCTATTATCTGACCCATAAA